TGGCACCACCCCAACTGATCGGCAGTCCTATGGCAGTCCCAGATGGGTCGTGTTTGGGGAAGTACTGGACCTGGACCCTGAACTTCTGCTCCACGTGAGGCCAATTCCTGGGTGGAGCGCTTGAACATGGAGGCCCAACGCACAGGCCAGGGCTCCATCCATCCTTCCGTGTTTTGGTATATATTTTTGGGGCAAGAGCTGGCTACTCCCGACGCATATGGATTGGGTTATGGCACCTGGAGCTCCTTTTTCACCCTAGGTTGACCTGGCCATCTCTTCATGATCGATTCATGTTCACTTCATGGTGATCTATTCCACCTGAGCCACCTGATCCTCGGGGGGTCCTCGTGGTCGAATGACGCTGTGCTCCGTGCTCCGATTCGGCCGATATAGAGGAATGAGGCCAAGACCCGTAGAATGACGCCAGACACGACTTGTCGGGACTCTAGGCCCGGGGTTGTTTCAGAGGTCCAATGTAGGGCATATCAGTCCCGGGACGAGCTGCGAGAGTGAGCCAATCATGCAACTCAGAAGCGGGTGCATTGGTTGCCCCGGATTTGGGTGGATGGAGCGAGTCCGCATGAAGGGCCTTGTGAGATTTGACGGGGTACCCTGATTCCAAGAATCATGGAAGTGGATGACATGCCCCCTGAAAAGCAGACAGGGCATTGTCCACTTCCTTGATTGTTGATGTTTGTTGGACAGATCTTGTTGGAGGGAGCGTCGTCTTCCCAGACTTGACATACCAAAGTGTTTGTTCAGACGAAGCTTTTCACATCGCAGATCTGAGGGGCAGAAACTCGTTCTCCTACTAAACTTTCTAACCCCCCCCCTCAGAACTCGAGCAGCTCAAATCCCCAGTCGACTGTTTATGACCAATATATATAACCTCATCACTCGGGATTGGATCTAAGACTCTTGACCGGGGCATAGGTGGATGACATCAAACCACTAGGGTGTCAGTCTAAGGCAACAAGTCAAGTAGTCAATGTCAAGTATGCGTTTGATTCCCATCCCCTTTTAGCAAGTGACAAGATTACAAGAAGGATATCAACATGATATCAATACATCACTGTCACTACTTTGGCTACTTTGGGAGATGAGGCCCAACCACTATCCAGACTAAATCATCCAGAATGGCACCAGGACTCCAGAATGTTCTTAGTCTTGCAAATTCCTGAGCAGACAATCAATAAGGTACTTATGAAGGTCCATCTATAACGCTGGTGTGATTTTATATGATTTGATTCTTTGGGTTTGGGAGACTGAGCCGGATGGCCAAAGGGTGGCTTTGTTGGGTTTGGGTGGGTAGACTGGTCTATTTCCCTTCTTCCAGGGTTTGGGAGACCTGGGAGGTCTCCCGGTTTTTGAGAGCGGTGATCCACACAGAAAATGGTGGCGTTTTCTTGGATGATCCTGCTTTCGATAGGCGCCGGTTGGCTGGTGATGGCGGACCTTAACAGCCGGCAGCGTGCGGAGCATGTGTGGGCCGTGGTGCAGGTGCGGAGCAACTGGGCTTGTCGCCCATGCTTGGCACAGCGAAGTCGCGTGAAAGGTTTCATGACGATCTCCGAGCCTGTTGGCCTGACCCTTGATTCAGCCGAGAAACCCAATTCCATGCCCAGGACAAACCCGAGTCGATGGTCAACCCCCTGGACGGGAAAATCCCGAAGCCGGATCCATACAGTGCCCTGAGGCTCAGGCCTTTTCAAGCGAAGACCCGAGACCCAGGACTGGATATAGTGGCCACACATGGGCGAAACAGGGTGCAGAAAGCCCCTCTCTCATCTCTATCCCAGAACTGGTTTAAGGGAAAACCGAACAAAACCAGGCCGCCCAATGGGGGATGATTTTTCCGGTTTCCCTGCACAGATGGTTGCCAACTAACCACTCCAATGATCAAAAGTCTTCAGTTTGCCTGGTCCAGGAGGAGATCAAGCAACTGCACTGCTTCGTCTCGCCCTTGGACTATGCCGCCCAGCAGCCCTCGAAGACCGCTCTAGCGCGGCGAGCGAGCCGCGCCGAGTCTGGTCGTTTGTGGGCCGATACGACCTGTTGACTGGCCGAATCGCCGAGTGGGGTCAAATGGGTCGGCAGTCCTATGCCAGTCCCAGACAGGTCGTGTTTGGGGAGAGATGGCTTTGTAGCTTTTTTCAAGCTCGCATGTTCAGCCTCTGGGTTCAACATGGATTAACCATGTTCAACCGTTCGAGAAGGACATGTCGAAGGGGGTCCCCACCCATCTATAGGCGTTATTAGGTGATTAGCTATGGATTCCCAATACAAACCCAAATATGTTGACGGTTGATGCACTAAACTCCATGGAGATGTTGGACTATCCACCAGGTCCTCAACCGTCTACATGAGCACGATCGATGCACAGAATTGCAAGCATTTGTTCGAGGTCGAACCAGGGCATGTTTAGCTGATCAGTCCCTACTGTTTGACTTTAAGGATGGGCTGGTGAGCCCATTAAGTATATTTGGTGCATATATAGGCATCACAAAGCCAGGACCTTGCGGAATCAGCTTGAGCAGGAGACATCACTCGATACCGGACCCTGAAAACCACTAGGTCGTCGGTGAGAATAGTCTTTATTACAGGAACCCAGTTTCACGGTCCATGTTGGTTTGCAGGGGTGATGAAGATCAGCTATTTTCCACGCTGTTTGAAGAGTTTAGGTGCGCTCATCCTCCCCTGCTTTGGTCACCAAATATAATTGATTTAGGCGGAGTGGCTCCAAGCAAAGTCGCTACCTGCACACGGAATCACAATCACCCTAGAAGTCCAAAGACGATACGGTTTCTTAAGATTAAGTAAAGGGGTCAACAAAAATCAAAGGAACTTCAGGTCCCCTTTGTCAGACCATTATTATTCTTATATTTAGTCTTTGACTATTTTGACTTTTAATTACTTGAAAGATCTTCTACGGCCCATATGCACATCTCAAACGTTTCCAAACCAGTTGCACCGTTTTAAGGCCTATATAAGGTATGTTTTTCACCCGAACCCCTTGGAAGGGTCCCCCCCCACTGGATTCCCTGCTTTTTCTTATCCCCGACCGCTGGCACGGGTTGCGCGAGGACCACCTTCTTCCTGCACCGAAACGCGCTCCACATTGTGGACGAGAGTCATCCCGCCGACCCCGAAGAAATGGGCTCCGCCTTCGACAGGCCGCGACGCGTTCGGCCCACGCGCGTTTCCGTCGAGTTTCCGTCGAACGATCCACGGCTTTCAGGCCAGAAGGAGTGGAACATGGTGGAACCCTTTTCTTTTGGGGGGGGGGGAAGAAGCGGAAAGGACAAACAGGGACCAGAGTACCGGGTAGTATTTTATAACTGCTAGGTATATCTATAAGCATTTAGTAATTATATATAGTTAGGCAATGTTAGGTACTTGGTGAGGATTTGGTCAAATGTTTGGGGGCTCTCAAGAGTGGTACTCGACGAGCAAAGTCACACTTCACATCCGTGGATGGAGCCCAAAGAGGGTGTCGACGGCGCCCTTCCTGCGTTTCAGAGTTGACCCCCTGTTTGGTATGAGGAGTTCGTTGATTTCATGGTGCCATCCACGTTTTCCCATGATTTCCCATGGTTTTAGGGAGGCTAGCAATCTGCACGGAACGCTTTTGACCTTGGGCTGCACCATGCTCACTCAGAGCAGGAAGTCACTACAACATGAGACAAATATCTACCTTTTAGGACCTTACCTTACTGTTTCTCATAAGATTCAGCATGCATCATTGAAGTTAAAAACATGTATATAAGTACATTCTCATCTACCTTCGCTCTGCAGTCGGACGTCCAAACAAACGTCCTGACAAGTCACTGCAGGCTGCAGAGAGAGTCCTCCACTGTCGCGTTTGTGGTCAAGGAGAGGAAAGAGATGGAAAGAGTCTATACATTTTGGAGGGGGCAAGGCCATCATTGAATGTGGGTGTCAGTGAGGGCCTTTGAAAAAAGAAACACATAACTACTACAGATCAATGACCTCATTTCAACTGGACGTGGTCGTGCAAAAACACTAGATACTTAAGGATGCAAAAGACCAGGTTTTACTGGGTCAGACTGGACTTGTAGGGAATGTTGTGTTTGGCATTTGGGGCGTTTGTTTTCGTCCATGCCTGGCCCGAGAAATCATGCGGTTTTCATGTTTGGTTTGTGCAGTGTTGGTCACCTCAAATGGCCAATGTATTTGACAGGAAATACGTGCAGAGCGGCAAGTATGATTCTGGAGCTGACCCATCAGTGCACTGAATCAGAACCCTCGGGACCTCAGGTACGGTGATTGGAGGCACAGTTGTGCAGGTTTGGAGGGTCCAGTCGTACCGAACCTGAGAGGGTACGAAAACGGATCCCTAGGGTCTACAAAACAGGTTGTTTTCTCCACTTCCATGTTTGTGAGTCGGAGTGTGCTGACCATGTGACAGCATGATTACCTTCTGACTGGATCCCTAGGAGAAGAACTTGTCAGGTAATCATGATAATCATGCTTGCCAGCAGTTCCAAAGGGACGATCCATGGAGGTAGGAGTTGGGTGCCCAGCTACTCCACTCACTGGGATGGGATTCAACTAAACACCACCTCTTCGTGACAGAATCTGCCAACCTTGCACCAACAGATCCCACAGAATCTGCCAAAACTGGCCGATTTCCGGACATCCATCATCTAGTACGCAGGGCTTACGAGGAGTCTCCGGTATTGGTCCAGGGCAGCCAGAGGAGTCTGCGCCGACGCCAGGAGGAGTTGGAAATCCGGATGTCCATGGGTGGCCCGGAGGGCAAAGCCAACTGGGCAGCCTTTGGATGCAAAGAGGGCGCCCTGAGGCACTCATCGTAGTCACACACGTGGGGAGGGGGTTCTTGGGGAGGGGCTCATTCGAGTGGCAGAGGGCGGCCTTTTTGAGAAGCTCAACGGCAAGTAGTGCTCAAGATCTTGCTTTACGCTATAGAATTCAGAGGGGACCTGAATTCCTAGCACCTTGCGCTCGTTGTTCCGTTCATGTCATGTCATCATAAGGACCCACGACCTAACATCTTTTCCCATCAAAAACGGCGGACACTTGGAGTTTGTGCTGATTTCGAATTCATCACTGAATATTCCCATGTCTTTGGAGTTTCGAAACCATGCGAAACCAACTTGGTTGACTCACTTTGCGGAGTTGTTGAGACTTCAGCTTTTCATCCTCTTGTCACGGCCTCACCGCATTGTTTTCAGCCCAAAACTGTTTGCGGTGTCCGCCGTGCGTGGGTGGTCGCATGGAAAGCCCTCCAGATCGACGCAGCGAAGGTGGGGGGCGCGAGAGATGGGCTGATTGCGTTTCGGTGGAGAAGGTCCGACCCCTGCCATGGAGGGCCGTTGGATTCTTATAGGGCGTACATCATGAATCATCATGACATATATAACATCATTTAGCCCATTCTGAGGTTAACCCCGGCGGTGTGGTGCCCATTTCGGCAAGCCTTCCCCGATATTAATAGAAAACATGGAGAGTGGAAAACGACCGGGCTTGGGATATTTTCGTCATTCAGCCATTTTGATGTACCATGTAGTCGTTGGAGGGAGGGTAGCTCTTTTTGATTTGCGATCCAATCCGGAAAGCTTTTGAAACCTAAGGTGACCCCCACTGGTTGCCCGATGGCAGTCACGTTCGGCTGCAGCACCTGGTCGCCGCTGCGCAACTTAACGGGCGCACGGGCGTGGTACAAAGCTTTGACGCTGAACAGTGGGCTCATCACGTGCACTTGAGTGGAGTGGAGACAGTGGAACATTGAAGCTGGTGGCCAGGAAGAACTTGCTGCCACCTGGTGAGGAGTCAGGAGATCAAAAAGATGTACAACACATTTGTTTTCGTCTTAATTCCAATTCCCGTGGCCACATATTTTTTCGATTAACCTAGAAGTGAACAATGGTTCTTAGACAGGCAAGTTGTCCTTCAGCAATAATCTTCAATGTCCTTTTGTGTTTTTGATGTTTCGACGTGACGAAAACTCGTCGCATGGTGCAATCCGCCGAGGTTAGACGTGCCACTCCAGCCACGCCCTACGCACCAGACTTAGAAGCCGTGCAGCGGTTGCTGCAGGAAATGGAGGTCTTGCAGCAGGGAATCCGCGCGTGGCCGGTGTCATTTGATGCCTGTAGTTGATGGGTGGTGGACGTGGGGTTTGCTGCAATACAATCGAACTCCCTTCGTGATTTCCGCAGTGCCAGGGAGCGGACGGCTGGGAAATCGTTCACGCTTTATTTCTCCTCCTGCACTTTTTGTATCTTTTTGTAACCTGGATGTTTCCTTAATGTTCACAATGTGCTGCATATATAGTCATTGTGACTGGCGGCCCCTTGTTGAGCGAGTGTGTTCCCAGCTCATGCTTGTTCCGCCTTCCGTCATGGAGAAAATCACATTGGCTTGGCTCGGCCTGATCGAAAAGGCATTTTGACACAAGATCCCGTATAGATTTCGGTGATAATTATCCTGTCTGCAGGAGCAAATGAAGAAGGCACAAGGAACATGATTCACATTGGGGTTCATATTTAGTTGCTGGTTTGTGTTTGGGGTATATGTGCCACATTTTGCATGTCTATACGGACGTATCTATTGGACTATCTATGTCTATCTATATCTATCTATCTATCTATCTATCTATCTATATCTATTTATATCTATTTATCTAATCTATCTACCTTATATGTTTTTCTTTCTATCTATCTATCAAGGGCGCTGCAGATAAAACCTCACCCACACCTCACAAAACCAATGCCACCCGCGCCCTTTCCTCATGCATCCGGCACACTTCGCCGAACCAAGGTGCCCGACCTCCCGGTACGCTTCTTGAAGTTGAATGCCGCTGATCCTTGGCTGAACCGGTGCCGCCTCACAAGTCACAAGTCACAAGCTGAATGAGGCCCCCCAACCTGGGGATGAGGGACCCCTGAATCGCCACAGTGGAGATGCTTGAGGGTTTGCTGAAAGGTGTTCTGCTGAAAGGCCTTCTTTCCGCGCCATGCCATGCAGGAAGAAAGCTGCAAAGAAGCCTTGGCAAGTCATCGCAGTGAAGATGAAGCGTTTCGCCAAGCGACCCGAGCAGTGGAAGCTTGTGACTCGGAGATTTGGTTGACTTGGCCATGTGATGCCATGTGGCTGTGGGTCAAAACCTGGAGTCAACCTTGATAGGTTGACCAAGTTGAATTTTTCGGTTCTATCATTTCTATCTCACGATGCGCAACACTCCCATCAGCGCGCACCGGACCTGGACTCTACGGCCAGACCGGGAGGCCTGCAACATGCAATCAGCTCATCATTTGAGAAGTAGGGAAGAGCACCAACTACTGTAAGCAGTGCTTTCGCACGGGAACAAAACTTTCCAAGTAGCTTGCAAAGTTAGGGAACTGCAACAATTCACTGCAATGGGTTTTAACAGCCCAGAGTTCAGCAGCGCACGTCGAGAGATTCACATGAAGCACTGCTAAACTTGATGGGTTTGTTGCCCTTAGGGGCTTAGTGTTTCCATAGTGCAGCCAACATTATGTTGCAACATGCACCTCTCTCGTTGCGCAAGAAAGCCCATAGGAGCGATGTTGGATTCAGCATGAGGCATACATGCACAATGTAGCACCTGAGATGTATTTATTTGGCTCCTTTGGCTCTATAGAAGTGTGCTGTCACAAGCGATCTAGTAGTGTACCTGGCTTGGATCTACAGCATCACGCCATCATAAGTATCAAATGATATCAAATGTATACATTCCCAACTGCCGCGAAGATTGCTCAACAACTTGCCAAGGTGTATGAGAGAACGCCCCAAATCATGCCAAAGTTCTCCCCAATTTCTTGAGATTTGCAAGTTGGGGAACTCCCTCAAGGTCGCTCCAAGTGATTGGGGAACTCCCTCTTCAATGGGGGAAGAACTGGCTACACCCCCTCCCCTCTTCAAGCCTCGCGAGCGACCCGCAACGCCGTCGCCCTGATGCCCCAGCCCTCCGCCACACCGCCGCACCCGCGGCACCGAGGTGGGCGGATGCAGGAGTCGGTCCCTTGGAGTGGACGGTCGCGGCGAAGCTGGGACGGCACCGTCGGAGATCCAGCGATGTGTCGCGGGGGATCCTTTTCTTGGTGTTGACGTGTTATCATGTTTGACTTCCCATGGCCCACTCTCATTTTCAAACAATGACCCAAACTGTGATTTAAACGCAAGCCGGGTGTCACTACAGCTGAGTCAGATGGTGTCACTCGTGTGTTTTGTCAACTTTGTTCAGCTTAGGTCCTTGGACCTCTTAAGAGGGCCTGGCACTTCCTGCTGTACAGCTGCTGAGCTACCTTGGACGGCCTGAATTCGTAAGTAAGATAACTATCACCTCGTATTGATTAACCTTAACTTAATCAACCTATATACAGTAGTATATTTATTTATAGACTAGTATTCAATATCCATTTATGAGGCGCATTGATTGAAGAATAATTACCTCTATTGAAGAATGTCCATTGGTGGATTCATGAAGTGGATTCATGATAGTGGGCTTGCTGCAGGGAGCCTCTCATGTGATAGAGATGAAAGCAGTATTGAAGCCAAAGAAAAACTCCGAAGACGCTCGGCCACTGAACCGATGTTTGATCTAGTTCAGTGGTGAAACATGACCCCTCACAGCAGTGATATCAGTGATATCATGCTTCTTTGTCTGTTTTCGATCCCTGATAGACGAAAGAGAATGGTCACCTCCCTCAAAAAAGGCACATCGATCACAAGAGAAGAGAATGAGAATGAGAATAATGAGAATGGTCCACCAAAGAACTTGCATGTAGCCTCGGTGGAGCAAAAAATGTCTGTGTTCCATCGTTTCAGACACATCCTTTGTCAGGACTGTGCCAACTCCATTTGGTGAGAGCTGAGGCTTTTGTTTTTGAGAACATGCTTCCACTCTTTGCAGACTGCAGAGCTCAAAGCTCCTTTGAACACATTGGTGTCGAATCTGGGCTTGCTCTACCTGGTCAGACGTGCGTGTTCCAGATGCGTAGGGCCTAGCTTTCGCGGCCCTGATCCTGGTGTGGACCAGACACGCTAGTGTTGGACCAGACCCGCTGGTTCACTCCATTTGCTTGTGCAAAAGCAGATGGTAGCCTTCAAGTCGCCCGAACTTCACCTTGAATCCGAGAAATGACGACCCATGACCCATGTGATCCACGGGTCAAAAGGGACAAAACACGTGGAGATCACACGAGTTCCCGTGACGGTGTTGAAAAAACATCCAACATCGTGCTCGAGTTTTTAGACCCGTCAGTGGGTTGCCCTCAGGGGCCACCCCCGCTTTCCTGCATGGATAGCACCCTTTTGGAAGTGGTTGCATTTGATTTGCTTATTTTGTTTTCAGGTCACGAAAGCTAGCCTCAGCTAGCTGGAGTTACTCTTGCGATAGCAAGTTAAATGACAGTGTGGACGTCGCCTCGGAAACCCGAAATATATTGATTAAATCAATCTTATGGACCCCCCCCCTCCGGAGGTTCAACTACCCCCCTGCGGACGGGTGACTGGGTGAGTGCGACAGGGTCTGATGCGCTCTTGGAGACGGCCATAAGCTTCTCATCTCATCAAGCTGGCTCATGAATACGTTCCCATACTAATGCCACTCTGCTTGCTGCTTGCTGTTTGTATTGCTCCAACCACGGTGAACCAGCAACCACAGCTTACACGAAACACCGTTTACGCCAAAACGCCAAAACACGGTTTGCACCAACCACAGTTTACACCAAACCACGGTCTGCACCAACCACGGCTTACACCAAAGCACGGTTTACACCAACCACGGCTTGCACCAACCACAGTTTACACCAACCACCGTCTACACCAACCACGGCTTATCCCAAATCAAGCTCTACACCAAACACCGTTCACACGAAACCACGGCTGTCACCAACCACCGTTTACACCAAACCACGATTTACACCAAGCCTGTTTTCCCGCAACCACATTGATGGCTGGTTTTCGTCCCCTCCCTTCTCAGGCACGCATGGTTCGAGAGTGTAAGTGTAAGAATTTGACCTTAGTTTCCAAATGTGTGTCACCGATTAAGGTTCCAGCCACTTAGCAGACATCAAAATGGCAGGCGTGGTCTGTCATCTCAGGAGGGGGCGATGAAGCGAAGGCGTGAGCGAAGGCGAAGGTGTGCCAATTCCATTGATGTTCCTCCCATGTCAACTCCATGTTCGCACCACCGCCCTCGGACTTGGGGTTTTGTCAGACGCCCTGGATGTTGGCTCTGGACGTGAGGTGTTGTGCCCGCTGGGGTGAAGAACCAATTTGTCGCATGGAAAAGTGCCACTTGGCTCGCAAACTTGAGGATCACGTGCTTGTGACTTGTGAGAAACCATTTGTTGTTGACACTTGATGTTGTTTTTTACGCACTGGAATCATTTTGTCTTTTTTGTTGTTGTGTTCGTCTTCCGGGTTTTTGTTTTTCCCCCTGCATGGGTTTCAGCCTTAAGCCTTGGAACATTTGGCTCGAACTATGCCGGCACAGTGAACTCAAACTAGCCGTGATTTTCTCCTCAGCATCATGTGGGATCCTTTGGCTGCACGGCTACTGCAGAGCACCCATGCGGCATTTCATCCGATTTGGTTCTGAATTTCCGGATGTTCTGACGGTTCAGCATGTTGTTTGTTGCAAAATGTTGTAACACTTTCCAGCCAAGGCAGATGCAGCCTGTGTATGCAATCGTTTTTATCCACAGGAGATGTGATTGCAGGGGTCCCAGTTCTTGAACCTCCATGACGCGCAATTAATGTAGATGCAGATGCGAATATGTTTTGCATTGGAAACTGAAACAATATTAGATTATTAGTGCGTGTGTCCGTGGGTTCATGCTGAGGATCGCAGCGTTATTCATACTCAGTTTTGAACTTCTGTGGAGTTGATTTCATTGTATGGTTACCCGCAGACGCTCCAAACATCCCTTGGTCCCTCAAAACCTATAGGGTTTCAGACCCCACGCCCGGTTCCTTCATATCAAATTGGCTCCAGCAGCGTTGGTTTTTTTCTTCGGGTTCTTCATGCTGAGTCACCCCATTGCCAAGGACCATGTCTTGAGAGCACAGACGCTCTTCGCTCTTGGTGTTTTGGACTTCGGTCTGCCAACGCAAGGACACCTGGATCCAATCCTAGTATTCACCGGCATTTGTTGGGGCCAAAGCTTTGAGCTAAATTAGTATGATTTTTTGCGTAGTTTGTACATCGAGTTGCTTCTTCTCGGCCTGGCCGAGGAATTGGGGTCCGGGACATGATCCCTGCTCAGCCCTCAAAGTCTGACGGTGCTGCTGCCGTTGTTTTTTGGTTCAAACACATGCATCTCAACACACCACTTTACCATGGTTTGGTTGTCTCAACTAGATCAACGGTAAAGCAACTAAGCAGGGAAACTCCAGCATGCACCATTTGTCTTTTCTATCACTGTTGCTACGTCGCGTACTACCCTTCTCTCAGCAGAAGTTCGACTCCAGCAAGAGTTCTGCATAACCGGCTGAACTGATATATATCCAAAAAGTAATCCAAGGCCGAATCTCCTTGGCGGCTGCGCCGATGTGATGAACCACACATACACCGTGCCAAGTCAGCCCATCTGGTTCGCACCGTTTGACGCTGACGCTTCGAAAAGCTGCGACGTGTCAAACACGCTATCAATGAGAGTGAACTGATAGATTGCACATGTTGAAAGTCATGTTGAATAATGTGTGTTCGATAGCAGTTGGTTGCTTTCGGTGAAGCTTTTGCAGTTTTGGCAAGAAAGATTATACAAGGTCAAGGTGGTTTCATTGCTTGTTGGATGTTTTCTATCAGGTTTGTTTCCCAAGAGCCGCAATGATGCAAGGTGTTGAATGCTGAAATCAAGAGCCGCACACATAGAAACAACTGGACTTGCTAGCAGATGGAGGGACACCTGGCTGCACGCCTTGTATGTGCAGAGTTGTTCAGTTTCATGTGAAGCATATTGGTTCATAGAATGTTCATAGAGTATATATTGTTCTTCCTACAACAGCAATGAGCAACGTTTTTGTTGCTTCATTGTTTTGCTTCGTTCGTCTACGTTGGCGAACGTCTGTCGTTGCAGTAAGGACGAGCGAAGGCGAATGAATACAACATGGTTCAATCAAAGATATGCCAATCATAGCTTTCAGCTGCTGTGGCGGTCACTTGACGAGGTCATATGTGGTCATGCTGCTGCTTGCATTTCTGATCGGAAACATTTGATGTAGCTCAAGAAAGAAAAGGACAGGTTTCAGTCATGTTACATGTTGTTCATTTACCAGCAGGCTTTCAGGTTTGACATAGCCATTTTGTTGTCACATTTGATTAGTAGGTTGGAGGCCCTTGCTTCTAGGTTGGAGGCCATCGCTATTAGGTTGGAGGCCATTTTTATTGTAACATTTGATTGGTGGTTTCTTTTTTTCCGAGGGTCCCTTACATGCGACTTGCGAATCCAAGGTGATGGACGCTGAAATCAATATCCGTGCATCCTTGGGAACACTATTGTTTGTCGATAATTACAAACCGGGCTGCAAGAATATGTAGCCTGCTTGAATCAGTGATTTGCACAAAACAAATATTATATATATATATGCAGGCGTTGTTTCTTTCGTTTGGTTCCATCACACTCTTGCTAGCATCACGAGGAACAAAGGCGACATAACGCAACATTGCCTAATAATAAGATTGCTTGCTGGCACAATTGTCCGTAAATGATTGCATTCTCTCTTGTAATACGTTTGGATGTTTGTAGATCAGACTGACTGACAAGGTGTTGGATGCTGATATCAAGTGCTGCACGCGTCAGAATACCACCCTTTGAGTAGCAGTTGGAAAGAGACTGAATTGCAAATAACTTTTGCAGAGTTTTGTTTATGTGGATATGGTTTCCCCGCCCCTTGAAAGAATTATCTCCACAAAGCCGGGCGTATATATATATATAAATATGTTGTTTATAAATTTACATAATGAAGAAACGTCCCCGTAAACTCAGAACTGGTCCTCTTCCACCGTAGCATCGGGGCTCAAAGGCGTATGGGAGGTCCTGGACCTCCCAGTCTTTGTACACGGTGCAACAAGTTCGACATTGAGGTGAGCACTTCGGACGTGTTTGTCGACATGGAGTTTGTCGACAACTCTGGAGGCTCACTACCTGGCTGGCGAGAGAAGGGTTGCCAGCCAGTGAGAAGGCATTTGCGGTGGACGTCCTTGAAGGCGCGTTCAATCGCATAGCGGCTAAGCCGACAGAGTCGAGGAGTTACAGCGTGAGCAGAGGAGAGAGAACAAGCCTGGTAGCCCCAAGAAGAAGAGGAGAACAGTTGTTGAGGAGCCACCCACTCGTGCCGAGCCGCCCTATCAGAAGCCACCAATTGAGAGCCCAAAGAGTTCAGCATCCAACCGTCCAATACTCCGTCCAGCAAACCCAGCCGCAGTCAGGTTGCAACCCAAAGGGAGTGTTGGAAGCTTGGTGAACTCCCAACACAGTTGAACCCAGTGCACCCAGACCATCGAGCCGTGCACCAACTACCCCTGTTGAGAGCGATCGGAAGCCTACAGCCACTACAGCCAAATCCAAACCCGGACCATGTAGATACTTTTTTAGAGTTGGGGGAGGTAGTATCAGAGGCGTTGAAGGTGCATGAACAGAGTTTTGCGCGCTGCAGCCAGACCAGGGGGGACTTGTTCCCCGTGCCCCTTCCATCGCCCCTGGAGCGACATACCAGGTCCCCCGCGTGTTTGTGCGCATTGGTGCAAGCGTTGAAATCACTTTATTGGACAACAACGATCCAGAGGAAACGGGAAGACAAGACATGGTTGAATTTGGTTGACAGGCTTGAGAAGGTCAGGTTGTGGAACAAACAGGGCTCACTAGAGAGGTGCTTCCGGACATGGACTTTGAGGAGTTCTTTAAGACCAAATCTGTTGACTACTCAGGCGAAGAGGTCCAGGTTGCCCGAAGCTTTAATTGGCAGATGGTGGAAGCTGCCTTCCCTGAACCTGTAGGGAGTTTGTCGTTGGAAGAGTTTTGCGAGGGCAGGGTGGTTCTTTGGCGTACATAAGAATTTTGAATCATTTATGATTCCCCCCCAGGACCGGTTCTGGGAAGGCCCCTAGCATTATGGTGAGTGAGGAGAACTGGAGTGAAGTTTGCAGGGGACTTGTGCGTTGAGGTGTTTGTCGGCCCATGCACATCTCCGAGATACATCACATCAACGGCCGACCCCTTCTAAACGGACTTCTTGCTGTTGGGAAGAAAGAGCTTTCAACCGACTCGGAGGGGAAGAGCTTCGAAGTATGCCGACTTATTATGAACCTGGTTCAACGAACAGCTGCTGTCGCAGCCTGGTGGGAGATACATCGGCCCTACCTAGTGCAGTTGGGATGTCATCCATTGTTCTTGAAGACCACCAGCTGCTGGTTACCTCCTCGGAGGAAATACGCTGCTTTTTCTATTTATTCCGAACGCCAGCCGCATGGTGGCGCTATATGGCCTTTGGAAGGGAGATTCCGCACGATGCTCTCCCAGAAAGTTGCGAAGGCCGAGGGTGGCACCTGGTCACCCAAGTGCTGCCGATGGGTTTTATGGCTGTCGCCCAGCACATCCACCGCAAGATCAACCAGGCGCTGAAGGGCGACCAGAGGCTGGCCTCAGGGCACCAAGAAATAAGAAGAGATCGCCATCACGGCCGCGCCCCCCACCTGTTTCGCGTGTACCTTGACAACTACGACGAGTTACAAAAGGTCGACAAAACGCTCGCTTCGATGATTGCTGGAACACCATCTGCTTGGACCCTGGCGGTCCGTGAGACTTATGAGCGCTTAGGGTTGCCAAGACACCCAAAGAAAGCAGTCACGCAGGCCGTTTGCGCAGAAGTTCAAGGTGCGTGGGTTGATGGCGAGCTGGGACATGCCATCCCCCAAGGTGGACAAGGTCACGAAAGGTAGCCCTTTAGGGGATACCTTGAGTTTGACTTGCGAAGCAAGTGTCGGCGAGTCTAATAATTGATCATTCAATTCAACACCCCCCCCCCCTTTTTTCTCTTTCAAATCCCCCCCCCCCCCCCCTTGAAATTTTTTTTTCAATACAACCCCCCCCCCCTCTAAATTCAATTCTCCGCTGGAGAACGTCTTCGTGAGCCTCTCATGATTTCAGGATAGTTGAAACCCTCTTGAACATTCAGAAAGAGTGCATATGAAATTCTAATTACGAAATGTGTTCTCGTTAAAATACCATTCTCTCCTGGAGTGAATATGAAATTCTAATCACGAAAGGTGTTCCCCGAGGGGATACGTTTT